CCGGTTAGGGTTACCAGATAAGGCTTAGTATCTTAACGTACAAATGTCTGTATATTATCCTCAAGTTTCAGTGTTACATAAAATTTAAAAGCATTGCGTTTAAAAGCCCATTTTCTTACAAAGCTAATTGATATTACAAAATAGAATTTTAGCTTATGGGATTATCGTGTAGATTCTGTACATCTCACTTCAGTTGCCCGGTTAGGTTGTATTTTAAGTATAGAGAACATTGCATTTTTATATCCATCTATATATTAAGTTAAAAACTATTAATGCTGTGGTCTTAATGAAGTTTTTTAAAGTATCGGCATTGATCTGTGTATGTTACCCATTCTATTTTATCTTTGTAAAGTTGAAGGACTGCAGGTTACAACTGATGTAGTTAAAGGAAGTCGACTGAAAATTCCTGTTTTAAAAATTATTATCTAAAAATTCTATTATTATTTGCATTTATTAAAACAATATTAACATTAACAATATTAACATTGAACTCATATATCTCTTATTTTAGTAAAATTTTTCATAAAAATTAAATTACTTAATAATTTTAATTAATTTGTAAAATTTAAAAATCTTTACAAGCTTAAAAGAATATTATATTTTTAAATAAACATTTATTACTTTTCATAATAAAATTCTTAATAATTTGCTTGTTTACAATATTTTTTACTTTGTTTCATTTTTAGTAATTTCTGAAGTAAAAATTTTGATTGTTTCCTGCTGATTTCATCTTACATCTTTTTGTATATTATATATACTCGTATATATTAAAAACTTAACATGCGAATTAATCAAAACAATTTTGTTTGTAATTTCAAATTTTTTTAATGCAATTTCTTGAAAAATTTTCTATAAATTTTTTGCACATGACACTTGGCATTAATTTGGATTTGACTGGGCGGTATGAACTTGTAGGCATACACCCACTAGGGGCTTTGTTGCAAGTACTCTGAGGTGAGTTCTTTTTCGATCATGAATCAACTGCGAAAAAAATATTTTAATTGAAAAATATATGCTTGATTTTGGTGTGATGATACAGAAGTGAGAAGAAATCATTTTTAAATAAATTATTTATTTAATTTTGCATTAAATTATGGCTATCGTAAATGTATACATGAAAAAAATTTATATAAATAGCGTACTTAGTGGTATAATTTTTTAAATCAAAATTGGTTTCTTATCAGTACTCTTCAAATATACTACGCTTGTTGACAAAATATATTCAAATATCGAAGAAGAGTAAAAAAATATGCTCTGCAGTGTTTTTAGATATCGAACAAATAATAAATTATGGCTTAAAAGTCTAACCTTCAAATAAAGATCATATCTCCCATGTGAAGCATGATTCTAGTACTCTAGTAGAATTTTACTTTAATCTTAATTTTACCTTCGGTAATTCTAATTTTACTACAAATTCTTAAATATAGAAGCTGTTACAACAGAAGTTTAATAAAGAACACTACTATACTCTGCTATCAGACAGCTTATTTCTACTTTCGTAATTGGAACTATAATTTTAAGTTTAGATGAACTATAAAAGAGTCTCAATAAATCTTCTATTTCAAGATATTTGCATCTACTGAGGATGTTACAAAGTCGGAGATCCATTATAGAAGGTTCATGAGCATGTGAATAAAGAGGAAAATCTTTTATTTGATTGACACCCTATCTGATGATTTAATTATAAATAACCGATTAATCTTATTGATAATTAATGAAAAAGGTTTGGAAAAGTTTACTTGTAGAATGCACAGACAAATTAGCTTCAAAAGCGTTTCAGATATTTCTATTATTGATAAAGTATTTTTTTTTTTCAATATTAAGTTCAAAATGGATTTTAACATCTTTTAAACTCTTTTCTTTAGCAATATTGGTACTCCTGATGGCTTGTGTACCAATCTTCAACACGATCTACTATGTATTTTTTTTATTATCCCCTTTTTGTTTAATTTAGTCCTTCTTGTATGTAGTTATTCCGTAGAATACAATGAGACTATCTTCTGAAATGCTAGATATGACTCCATAAAACACTCCTACTTCCTAAGCCAGCGGTTAAATCTTGCAAATATTTTAAGACGATTCTAGTAGGCAACCCGAGTTTGTAAAAATTGTTCACGAAATTATATTTTATATATATATTGATATATATAAAAAATGTAGAAAATTTGATGGGCAAATATACATTGTGTCTATTAGAGGTTTTATTTAAAAATTAAATACTTTTTGAGTTCAATTTCGATTACTTCAGATACTTTTAGGACTGAAAGCGTTTCAGGTTTGAACGTTTCAGAATTCGTTAAACTTACACTAGTGTAAACGAGTTTAATCAATTGGTTTTATATATTTTTAGAATTTTAATTACAAATTTTTAACATCGTTTACATTTTTAATTAAACTTTATTCCTTTTAATTTTTTTTAATTAATTTCATTAAATAATTTTTAAATTTTTGTGCTGTAAAAGCAAACAAAAAAAAAATTATTTCTACTCAAGCATGCCTAAAAAGTGTCAAAAATTAATATTTTTAACAAATTCGAAAATTTGTTTATAGACAAATACTTTTTGCAAAATAAAAAAATTAAATTATATAAAAATATTTGCGTCAAAGCACTCCTGAGACCTGCGGTAAGAGCAACGACCATAAGAATCTAGAAAAAATGCAATGCAATGATGCATCGTCCAGCAGGCATGGCACATTGCAAGTTCGACGTGTGAATCCGCTGTTACCTCGATTCATATCAGACACCACTGGCTGAAATTTCATTTGCCATTTTCGCTGTCATCGGCCCTGTGATTATCGTTATTAAATGCAGCAATATCAACACAATCCAAACAACGATCTCACATCAATTTGCAATTTGTTTTCAATAATTTTTACTCCTCAGTTTTTAAGATTTTCATATTTTGGCTGATTGCCAGCAGCAACGCCAAGCGTGCGTACCCCATCGATTCTATTTGTTTATCTTTCAAATTGGAATTCCGTTTCAAACACTTGTAAATACCCTCGCTGGCACCACTGACACTGGTCCCAGCGCATCATTCCTCATCTGAGCAAATGGGTTAATAAGTGGTCGAAGAGCATAGCGCTACAGTGGCGACTATGTTAAACGCCACCTGTGAGTAGGACAGACTGACACTTACGATCGCTGTGAGGCATTTTTATGTGTGGGAGAAGTCATTTCACTGCGTCTCTTTTCGCATATATATTTTATATCAAAATCTTTTTTTTTTATATTATTTGATATTGCTTGAGAGTGAAAATATTTAGTGTTAAGACGATTTCAAATATTCAGTATTCGGTTCAAAACTCTTCTAATAGTGTATGGATATAATGACATTAGGATAATACTCGTAGCTTATACAGTTGTAAGTATTTGGAGTTTTTGAAATTTTGCAAATAATTCGAATTTTCGGATATGAGAAACAGATCAAAAAAATTGGAACTATATGAACAAATTCTCCCAATAATTGTATCTATTGGAATATTGTAAGGATTGAAAGGTTTGAATTTTAAAAAACTCGAATAGTTGTGAGTATTCGAATATTTCCAAAATACTCAATATACACATATTCTATATGTATTATTGGGTAGTTTAAAAGTTTTATGGTATTCAGTTTATATGACGGACATACAAACCTTTTTCAAAAAACATTGTATAAATTCTACAAATTCATTGAAGATATGTGTGTTTTGGTGATAGATCGCAGATCGCATGATCGTAGGTATATATCTTCTATTTTGTTTGAAGTTAGTAACTCCATTTGTTTATCTAGTTTTGTTAATGGTTCATAAGGAGACAATAATTAATTATTTGACTAACTCTTTGCAGTTTATAACGTATGATTCCTTGTGAAAACACTATCACTGTCATTGCCATTCCATGTACACATTTACATTTATAATGGAATATAGTTATTATATAGTATATAGTATGATATATAAATATTTACATATATAATATTTCTATATATGGGAGATATTTTATCCACATTGTTGTTGTATATAAAACCCTTTTCAACACGAATTTGGTAATGACTAGACCTTAATTTGGGGTATAAACATCTAAATTATATTAGTTTCCAATGTTTTTAAGTCAAACTTTTGGAAGACTAAAAGCGCAAAAGTGTTATAGAATACCATTTAATATAATGGTCCAATAAAATCAAAAAGAAAAAAATGCAAATTAATAAATCTACAATTAACTGATATTAAAGATCCGAAACTGTAAGAACAAAACGCTGAATCAATCGACATGAAGAGGAATTCTAAAAAAAGTTTTTTGACTCAAGAGTTGTAACGCTATAACATAAAAGAAGAACTAGATTAACGTTTCGAAATGTGTGGATTTATTATAATAGTGATATTAATATATTGCTTTTGTGTATTATATTATTTTATGTTTTTTTTTTGAGCTAAAGTAACTCTCTTAATAATGGTGTTAAGCTATGTTGGAAACTTAAAGAAATAGGGTAATCTCGGGGGACTCCCATGATCAGATCAAACAGATAATAATCTTATAATAATATGTTCTTAAAAAAAACCTTAATTATAGTTTGGTTGGTATTACTACATTTCACAAAAATCGATTAGATTTAACGAAACCTTATTAGTATCGAATACGAGTGCCAATCACTATTCCTCTATAAACTTGAGATTATATATTTTTAAATATTAAATGGAATATTTTTTTATTAAGGTATAAACCATTAAATTTTTTAAATAATAACTGGTAGTGGTGAATAAATACTTTCGTTAAGACTAATTTTAGGTACCAATTACCCAATCGTACATTTTTTGTGCTAATTAAATGCAAATCTTACTCTTCGCAGTTTTTAATTAAAATTATTATGTATCAACCAAATTAATAATGATGATCGTGTTAATGATGCTCACACTCTCACAATGTGATGCCATTTATATCTGAGATAAAGTAAGCGAAATTTACAGAAAATTTGACTAAATTTTAAATATAAGCACCAACGACTGGAAAACTGCGACAGTTTGTATTTGGCAGCCTTTCGAGTAAAATCAACATTTGAAGATCGAGAAGTGTATATATATTTTAGAATATAATATAGTGAACTGAAATTAACCATTCAAGAAAAAGGATATTTGTGCTAACAAAACTATTAAATAAAAAATTGCCTTAAATAAATATAATTAATTAAATAGTTGAAAATGATTTGTCCTAAGCGTACGTCCGAATTAATAGACCTGCATTTGGCACCATTTAAAGATAAAGATCCTGCATGGGAAGTTGGTGTTTCGAAAATTGCAGGGCGTGGTGTTTTCGCAACACGCGATCTAAAACGCGGTGAAATCATTTTTCGCGATATGCCATTGATAATTGGTCCTGCGGCGCGTAAAGAGGACACGTTGAATATGTGTACGATGTGTTTTAAAATGTTGCCCGATACGAAATTTATGTGCCGTCAGGGTTGCTCCTTGCCTATATGTGCATTGTGTGGTAAGAAGAAAGAACACAAAGCTGATTGTGATCTTCTCAAATCATGGGGACCCAATGAACCAGACGTGGCTAATTCCGTTGTTATACGTTTATTGTGTGTGGCGCGCGCCATAAATCTCACCAAGGATCAACGTGATCTTATTTATTGTTTGCAAGCTAATTTGGACAATAACCATCGTACAGAGGTACGCAATGGAGCAAAATGTTTCAAGAACTTTCCAAATGATAAGAAAATATTCGAAATTATGAATCGCACAGTGGCTGTTTTGCGTACAAATGGTTTTGATGAGACCTCTGAGCGCACAAATGACAATCAGGAATTTTTCTATCGTGCTCTGTTTCCACTCTTTGCTGTTATGAATCATGATTGTGTACCAAATTCGTATTATACTTTCGAGGAGAAAACTAATATAATGACCGCACGTGCTTCGGTGGACATACCAGCCGGAACTGAGATTACAACAACTTACACAAAACTATTCACAGGAAATATCGCAAGACATTTGTTTCTAAAAATGAAGAAAACTTTTACCTGCAAATGTGCAAGATGCTCTGATCCAACAGTAAGTTAATAAGTAATATAAATACTTTTCAAAAATTATTCTATAAATGAGTTTAGATTTTAATATACATAATTTTTATAATTTATTTAAGTATATTACTTTTTAATTGGCATTGGTCTTTTAAACTAATTTGGTTACTTACATACAAAATATATATTCAATATATATAATATATATAAAGTTTTTATTTTTCGAAATTATGTGAAAGAGGTTTCCTTTTTAATTTATGCTTCTATATACTAAGGTTTACTAAAACACCACACAGATTTTTAGATAATTTTCCTATCAATTTCCTTTAAAAGATTGGGTTTCAGTAATAACCCTAAAAACCGGGTTTCCTTCAGGGAAACCTATTTTTACAAAGTAAAAAAATGCTAAAAAATCAATTCCTTGTTTATAGAGAGTTTGATATATACATATAAACACACACCAATTCTTTGACAACCCCACATTAAAGGGGTGAACATCAAATCTAGTTACTTGCATATTCATTAAATCAATCAAGGACCTTTAGTTACTTTTTGTTAAACTTAGAAGAGGGTAATGTCTTTTTTGACACTTTATTGGTCAGATCCCAACATTAAAAATTAATACAAATTTTTAGTTATAAATCTATCCTAGTATGGAAGCGGTATGTAGGGTTATCAAAACATTTATTGTTTTTTAAGTTATAGTAATTTCTTTTTTAAGAACTTATTATTACAATCAGTGTTAAAAATGTTTACTACTACAGTATTTCAAATAGACAGTTGTTGTTTTTTCAACACCATTATTAAAGGAACTATTCGCTGATATCGTTTGACCATCAATCTCATCAAATAGCAGGGATTTGAGCAAATATATTCTAGGATTGTTGGTATAGAGTCCAAAACCAATTTACCTCAAAATCACCAATTTTTTAATTTATGTATACATCTAAGACAAAAAAATTGCAACCGTTTTACTCCATATTTTAGCATCCAATTAGCAATCGCAATCAACAATTTTTAATATTTCTTTATATCAGATGTACTGTGATAGATTAAAATCTATAAGCGGGTATCGCCTCTTTTACAGTTATCCCTATTTCAATCCCTGCCAGCTATAGTTGGAGATTGATTTATAATCATTTTTGCGACAAGCAAATAGTGAGTGGGTCCATACTGCCTCAACAGTCAGATCAAAGGCTATATGGCCTATCTATTCCAAATGTAGAACCTCTGACTTGTTACACAGAAGCAAAATAGAGGTATAATATTAATATTTAGGTTAATATTTCTCTTTACAGGGTATTGGACATGGAATTAGACTCGGCCTACTCTATAGTATTTCCTGCAAAGCGTGTCTACCAGTTCTCGAAGAAAGGACACCAGTACACCTTAAGTTTTTGGGGGGCCCTTTTTTAACACACTCTGCGATATCGTCACCATTATCATTAGCAAGACTCTTGCCTTCATAAATACTTTTCGCTGGTTCTAGCTTGATCTTCTACCCATTACAAAGAATATTTGTGAATTCAAAACGGCTTTCTTAGCTAATTGAAGACGATTTGTTCCGCTCTCTATTTTAACTAATTAACTATCTTAAATGCTCTCGGTTAAAGGAATATGTAGAGGATATGTAGAGTGAAATATACACTCATTTTAAATGAATAAATGTTTTACAGTAAGAGTCTGAATCATCTAAACTTGTCTGCTATTAGAAAATTGTTAATGGAAGATATACTATCTAGTCTTTATTATTGTCCCATTTAATAATAAATGCAGACTATGAAATATAAAGTCTGTTCGACTGAGTTCCAACCGGTGGAAGCCAGGCTGGTTTTTATCTTTGATTTAATAAAATATTTTAGTACGGCAGGAATTAATATTTATTTTTAAAATATTATTGTACCAGCACAATATGTAGTTCTACACCATTGAAATAATCAAACTTTCTGAAGGTAAACATTTTTAAACATTTTTTGTTTTTTTTTTGCTGAGAAAACCTTTGCCGTCAAAGCTTTCAAGAAGCAATTAAAATCATATGATTAAAATAATAAATTCTGCTCCACACGTTGATTTTTGATGATTTTGATGAAATAATTTAGCAGCTAAAATTTATATTTTTGTTGTTTCTTCTACTAAAATATATGTAGAATGGATAAAAATATCGCATTTCTCTAATAACAAATTATAGCGATAAATTTTGGAATATATTCAGAACGTGCTTTGCGTGTCATTATTTATAAACATAATTTTAGTAATAAATAAGCAAAATTACGGAGGCTGCCACCTTAATTATAACACATTCGAAGTAGTATTTATTATACAAAAACAAAAACAAAAATAAAAAACAATAAACCTAAAAATATTTTTTATAAACTAAAAATAAATTCAACTTAATGAATTTATAAAAATCTGGAATTTCGATTACTGCTTCAGGTGCCTTGATTATCTTTGAAAATTGTGAGAAGATCGGAAACAGTGGAATTAAATCTTTTATTGGCAAGGCCATAACTCAATTTCTAAAGAAACTCAGTCATTAAAAACAATTATGTTAACAAAATATATATTAACCAAAAATTCTGATTTGTTTTGTTTTTTTTGTTTTTGCGAGGCAGCGTTTTTAGATGGAAAATTTATGTTTTCCGAGGCAATGAGAATTCTGAGGCAAATCGTTGTGGTCGACGGTTGTGTTCTCTGCGCTACTTGGCTTGTGTCACGTCAATAAAATATGCGATAAAATTCCGATGTGATGGTGGTCCATGGAAATTTATTGAAATGTCCGTGGCCAAGAAAACTCATTGGCAAGAAATGTTTATTTAAAATTTCTTAAAGGCCGAGCGCAAAAATTAGCACAACGCTTAATGCAAACAAAAACAAATCGTTCTCATTAAAAATTTCAAAAAAAAAAAAAATAAATAAAACATTGAAACCATAATAATCAAATTTTTAATTAAATTAAATTTTTTTTTTTTAAATAAAGACAAATTAGCTAAAAAAATTCTTATTCATGAATTCATAAAAAAAATCTGCGCGGAATCTACTTAATTACAACGTCGCGTTCCATCGGATCAGCAAGCGCTCCAGAGATGAATGCGTGGCATGTATCACAGTTCAACGCTGCGGGTAATCTATGCTGGATGCTGGGTGCTGGCTGCTCGATGATTCGTTCTTGTTTTTTTTTGTTTTGGAAAATTTAATAAAAATATATTTGGCCACGTGAAACTGTAAATATTTCCTTTGTATTTTTTGCTTTTGAATAAATTTTATTATATTTTGGCGCGAAAACTTTTGAAGTTCAATGTTTGTTTTTGATCTTCCAGTTTGTGTTCTTGCTCTTGTTGACTCAAACGTTTTTTGTTCGTGGAACACCATAAATAGACCACCAGATAAATAAACAAAGTGAACGGTGAAGAATTTATTACGCCTTTTTAACTCAAGAAATATTAACAATTTTTGTACGGAAATCCTTATTATTGTGAGCGAAATCAAAAAAACTTAAAGATACGCTTAGCTGTCAAGGAAGTAATTCAAAACATTTGGCATTTAATTATATATAAAATTTATAACTTGCAATTTAAATTAAACTGACGTCACTTCTTTGCATAGCATGTATTTGTGGATTATTTGGAAGAATAGATGAATAGATGACTGTTTTTTGAAGAAAGTGATTTGTTATGAAATTGTTTACCAAATCTTCGGACAATAGAACAAGATAATAGATTTATTTGTTTATTTATAGATAATACCTATAAGTAGGTATTTTCTGAAAGTTGCGTGTCCATCTTACATTAATAGAATATGTTGGATTTGGAGAAATAATCTGCATCCATGAAAGGAGTCTGGTAGGGTTACTGACTTATGTTCTACTGGGGTTCGTAATGGCCAGCATATACCACTACTTTCTACAGCTAGTTTATAATAGAAGGATATCATTGATAACTTGTTTAATTTAACAGTGAACCTGGTGTTTATTTATTATGATCATGTCCTCGATAGCATTAATACTACTATTTTACAAGCAGTTCTTGTAGGTTACTGGAAGAAGAAACTGAACATTCATTCAACACCTAAAAGAAAAGAAATAATTAGGCTTTATATGTTTGATTGTCAAACTTTGATTGCTAGAAAGATGTTTTGTTTACAGAAGTATTTCCTTGATTAACTGTTGATAGAAATTAAAAAAGATCTGTAAAATTGTGTAAAGTCAATAGAATGAATTAAATATACATATTAATTATAAAAACCAAAAAATTTTTCGATATTTATTCTTATAGTGAGTTCTAATATATCAAATTTTAAGTCAAAAAAGTAGCCAGGCGCTTTTATACTCAAATATAATAAGAATCAGTGCGCTGACTCTGAGCTTCAAATTTGACAGGGCACGATTTCGATTCCTGGTATATGCAGTCTCAAAAAATTATTTACGAATAATTAAATACAAGAATTATTTCCAAGACCAATCATGATGGGTATTTGGCAATACTCGAAACAGTTGTATGGTCTGTCAAAAATTCAATTAATTAAAATAATATAAAAAAGAATTTTTGTTGTTGTAGTTCACTACTTTTCAAAAACCGCTTTATAAAATTTTTTGATAATTTTTAATTACTAAAGAATACAACTTATTCTTGTTTTCGTAAGATTATTATATTGTTACTTACTGAACTAAGTTTTAGAGATTTGATTGTAATTAACCATTTTTTAATGTTTAACAATTCTATTCTTTCTAGGAAAATGGAGCCTTTATATCTGCACAATATTGCCGTGATCCCAATTGCTCTGGTATGACAGTACCAGAAACAAAAGGCATGCCGCATCCAAACTGGAATTGTCTTGTTTGTAAGCAGAAATCAACAAATCCACAAATGGTTAAAGCACAAGATCTTGCCGCTGGTGCCATAAGTGCTAAGTTAAATTCTAATTCACTCAAGTCCCTCGTTTTATACTTGAGGGATAAAAGTTCAAGTTTCATACCTGACAGTAACTATGCAGTCATAGATGCTAAACTCATTTGCATACGACGCCTGGCGGCTGGAAAAGAAGATTGTAATGATGAAGAAGCAGCGACTAAAGTGAAATTTTGTCAGGATATAATTGCTATAATGGATAAATTGGGGTTGGGTGATTGTTTAATACGCACATATTTAGATACGGAAATGACTAAATAAATGCATTAAAAAAATTATGAAAGTTAAAATTTAAAACTTAACATAAGATTAAGTATATTACTTACATTGATAGTGTGAGATTTGTTGTAATAGATTTTACCTTTCTTTTTATAATACTCTATAATATATTATCCTTAGTATATTATTTATTATTATTTATAATATTAAATTTTATTTGAACAAATTTAAGACCCTACAATTTTTTTTAATTATTATAATTTAATAAAATATACTTTTATGTAATTAAGTAAAAATGTTTTTTTTTTATTACTGTTTGATCGGGAACTCCAATAACTGCTTATAGATATAATATTTACACGTTTAGAAAGTTCTAAATTTTTTCACACTGCACAAATACGAAAAGCTTCAGTAATATAGCGTTGCAATTATCATTAACTATTGTTATATTAATTATTGTTGTTAGAACACTTATGTTTGAAGAACGTTTTTTTATAAGATATAGTATCTCCATAGATTGAACTATGACTTTATGAAGTTCAATTGAATTTTAAACTTAAATAACATTTAATTGCTGTAGTGCTCTGGTAGCTGTTATAATTATGAAAAATTAAACTACCCACGAAAACGCCTTGAAGGAGTAGGTCACATGTCAACTATAATAGAGATAAAGTATATGTAAAAAAAAAATACATCACTAAAAAGAGAGTAGATCATATATCAACTACAATAGAGACAAATGTAGTAAAACACACATCACTAAGAAGGAGTAGATCATACATCAATTACAATAAATCTGCATGTAGGATGTATGTGTTATATAACTGTCATCCAACTATAGTTTATTTCAATTAAACTTTATATATATAATTACTTAGTAGAGTCTACTGCTTATCATCAATTACGGAAAATATTAGAGTTTCATATATATCTACTTATTTAGTCGTAACAATTCGTTATTGGTTTTAGACTTAGCACAGCTTTCCTATCCAAGCGACATCGCTTCAGGCTCCCCTTCCCCAATCTAGTATAACAAAAGCTGTTAGCACTCCCATATCTGAGTTCCATTTATAATTAATCGCTGTATAATAAGACTATCTATCTAGACTATATATCATATCTAGACTATATGTACAGTATTGTACAGGAACTGAGAGAAGCATATAGGTAAATTGACATACTGTAAGTAATGAGGATTGCATTTTCTATTGCATATCACATTACTGTTATTACTGATATGTTCACATTTAATTACTTTAAAAGTTAGTCCATTCACATTTTTTTATATATGCAATACTGTCATTTTTCGCTTACAAAATTTTTACTCCAGGTATTTTTGAGTCGTTTCTTGCTGTATTGTCCATACTGGTTCCATCTTTATGCAATGTTAGTAATTTCTGGTAAGAAGTATTCTTCTTGTATATCAAATATACGGATATCTTTTACATCTTTTACACCCTCAGTTTTTTAATATTATTATATGTTATAGACAAACCTTTAAGATACTACGTGAGTACCCGGTTTTCACTATATGTCGCTGTAATCTATTTATAAAATTTCAGAGTATGTTCTTATACTATATCATCAGGCTCTATTTAAATTGTGTCATGTGAGTATCTCGTATCAAATCGATTAAAATTAGTAATTATCTGCTAAATGCAATTAATGTGGAAATTTAAAATAAATAAAAATATCTATTTAATTTATATGAAAACTTACATATTAATAAGTGTGAGTCATTTTAAATATTTTAAAAATAATATTTGAAAAAATATTTTTTTTTGTTAGCAAATTCATTTTAAAAATATTTAAATACAATAACTTAAGTTAATCATACAGTAATCTGCTTATATTAAGTTATTCACCCTCTGGCATAAATTTTAAAGGTCCATTTGGCTTTAATCCTTTAAATACAAAAATGCTTAAATTTGATTTTATTTTAGTATTTTTGAGAATTTATTATTCACGCTTATAAGATTCTTGTGTGGGCGTTCTGTGTCTGAAATTAATGAATTTTTCACATATTTTCCCGAAGACTTTTCTGTAGACTTTCCTTTTCTTGAAGATGCTTTGGACTTGGTGACGATTTACTGCTGTTTTGATATTGTTGCTGGCTATTAATCGCGATGCACTGACTTCGCCTTGCAGTTCTAGTCGTAATTAGTTGCATGTCAGTCTGTCCGTGTTTCTGTCTGCACTTCCACATTCAAATAAAAATGCTCCTCTTAGACTTCTGAAAGTCTTGTATTTTATTCACAAATTTGAATGCTTTTTATTTATTTCATATGTCACAATATTGTTTAAAATTGAAAAAAGAAATTCATAATAGCAAAATATATTTTCTGTGATTTTTTTTTTATTTTTTGCATTTTTAAGATAATAACTGCACAATTGTAAGGCAATTATAATAACTTATTTTATGAATAATATTTATTTTAGATTTTATTTTAATTTCTGTTTTATGATACCATTAACATAATTTGTATCTTATTTAGTTGTTATTTCGAGAATTTGGCAATTGTCGACGATTTATCTTAACTAAGTTTAATGTACTAAACTTAATCACTGTTCTAATTAGTTTAAAACCATTAAAATGTTTTAAAATCTTTAAATTGTAACAATTTTTTATTTTAAAATTATTTCTAATTAATTTAAATTCTTTAATTATTTTTGTAGTAAATTTAAAGTGAAATATTTTATTTGGGTTAAAATTTCAACATATTTTTTATTTTTATTTTATAAATTTTTTTATAAAAGTATAAAATATTTCATTTATAATATTACTTATAAGCTATTAGCATTTTATAATTTTTAGTTGATAATATTTGAAAACAATTTAAAATAGTTTAAGTAGCAAAAATAATGGTTTTCTCTAAATATGTGACGATTATTAAAAATAACTGAAAATAATTTAACTGACAGTAATGACTTTTATTAAATTAATTTTATTATAAAAAAATAACGATTACTTAATACATTTTATGTAGATAATTTTATTTTGTTTGGTCTTCTAATTAACAAAACCATTGTCGAAATAGTTTAAAAATAACTTGTTTACATCACATTATGAGGCGTTCCACAGATTTCTGGCTATATCCATGTTTATCTACTTATCTATCACATTTTGTGTACATGTAATTCTTTATGCACTCAAAAATTCTTCTATCAGCATTGGAATGGTCAATATTTGAATCTGGTCCGTTGGCTGGATATAAGAATGGGGGTGGTGCTTTCAAATAATTTCATTATGTTTTAGAAAACTTTAACTCATAAAATAATTAATAAAACTAAAAGTATATATTATATATAAATATAGTTCTTCGACACATTTTCGGAATTTAAAACTCTTAAACCCCCTCACCGCTGTGAGAAAAATAAACAAAAAAAATAGTTTCGTTTGAAAAAAATTAGATAATTAGAAAAACGGAAATTATTATTATATCTTGCTTACTTTAAAAATGTTTTATAATAAGAAAGTAAATTTCCATTATTATCACCATTTCATTACAAAAACAAAAAAAATGCAAAACCATGCTAGAAAATTTCAGTCCAGATATATGTATATAGACGATGAAAATAAAGACCGATCTAGTGAAACTTTAAAATTGTAGAGAAGGAATAAGTTTTGCATCTTAAACAATATGTATTAATGCAAGATATAAATATATTCAATATTAATATAAATTTACATTGCAAAAAAATTTATAATTCTCAAGTACTTATATTGTCTTTTGCTATATAAGGATTACTTCGCAAACACAGCAAATTTTAATATTAATGTGTTTTTAATATCCTCGCATTTTCCTAACGAGACTCAACAAAGATTTTAACGTTAAAAATGTTGCAATAAAAGTGTTTTATAGTTTCACCGAGAATTTTTGTAATTTTTTTTTTTAGTGCTATCGGCTTGTTCTTCATTCCTATATAGTTGCGTCTTCAATTTAGTGTTATTGCTGCTGTTAGCTAGCGCTTTTCTTTGTTTTTATGCTTTTTATTTAAATTTGTTCAAGTGGCCTTCTTTTAACTTGTCTGCAATTTTTGATGCTGTAAGCGTCACTTATACTTAGGTTTACATAAGCTTGAGTTTATACTTAACTTGATATTTTTAATGTTGCACTTATTTATTTCAGTAAACGATGTTGAGGATTTCATATTTTTTTTTTCTTTAGTTTTCTGATTTTCTTGCTCTAGTAGACAGTACTTTGATATCTTTTCGTTTTTAGTGCTTTTAGTTAACAAGATGAATATATATTTAAATATATGTATACTAGCTTAGTAAAGGCTAACATCTCAAATGATACGTATTAAATTTTTTTCTGGAATCGGGGAAGTGAGACCGAATAAGTTATTTTGAGACATTTAAACTATGCTATTTAAGGTAATTGCATGTCATGCAAGTGTGCTTTCAAAAATATTTTTAATTATTTAAGTTAATCATTTTGTAAAATTGCGTAAACTGTTGCATACATTTAGGGGTTTTTCTGATTTAAAGCTTTTGTGGAAAACAATTAGTTCTTAATGCTTTATTTAAACTTTTGTGTATGTTTGGATGGCAGGGAAGTACGAATAAAAATTTTACTAAATGGAATTTTTTATAAATAAACTTCTAATATATAAAAAAATATATAAAAAAAATAATATATATAATATAAAAATAATATATAAAAAAAATTTGTTCATCATAATTCCACGCTGTGTCCCCTTCTTATCATAGGAATACCTCTATTCAAAATTTCTTCAATCAATTCAAGGCGTCAAACAACCCTGCAAGAGATGGCATTTCACTTAGTTATGCGCGGTATGCACTCTTAGTTTATGACCTACGGGTTGTCAGGTAACTCTGTAGTGGTGTCATGTGGAAGCTGTACGACAACTTGGATAAACGACGTTAAGAACTGCGCTGGTATTTTGATGTTAAATGCAATGAACATGTTGCCTTGTGTTTCACACCCTGGGTAAGAAAAATAGTTTCAAAAAAAATAAAATGTGGAATACATCAGTGCTGGGTAATTCATAAACTGGGTAAGAAAAATAGTTTAAAAAAAAATAAAATGTTGAATACATCAGTGCTGGACAAATCAAATAAAATTATTGAAGTCGCACTTTATGGAAAATGTGATTTAATCATACTCTTCTCAATTAGATTAAATGGCAAATAAATATTTAACAAATAAATATAATTCTCATATTAGTTTTAATGACAAATATTGCATAAAAGAGTGAAAATAATAAAAAATAAAAATATGATTACCTCTTCAACCCTCACATTCTTGGTTGGTGGTTATTTGGTTGCAGTTGCACCTCAATTAGTGATTTTCTATACCCCTAGTCTTCTATAGAGAAGAGACTAAATCCATCTCGTAGAATTTAGGATGTAAGGTCCTTACATTGATACAGCAAAATTAACATATCACTGCGAATATCACTAAGAATTATTGTACAGCTCAAGTTTATTTATTTTTTAAATTTTTTACTTAAAGAAAAATTTCAGTACGATTATAATTTCTGAAATATTATTGTCATTCCGATCTAATGATATCTGAAATATTTACTTGTAAATTTCACAAGAAAAATGTTTACATGTAATGATTTTAAAATGAAATCTTCAATATTAAGTTGCCTCATTTAGTTTTTCATTTTGTACTTAAAGATTAATTTTGCTTAAGCGTAAAAAAATATTTAAAAAATTATTGCAGTTCGTGCCACCAGAAAAGCATGAAGGAGGCATAAAATTTAGAATTATTTAAGCGTTCAGAAATTCGATAAATTTTCCCAAATTATGCGCGATACAACAAGAACAATCTTTTGCCTTTAGGCAACTTCGAGTATATTTTAGAATTTATATTTGAGAAACTTTGGCAGGTGTCATATCAACGTCGTGATTGTCTGTCTACAGCATTTGATAAACATGATAGATACCATCTGAAAACAATACGAAACAATTAACAAGTGCAAACAGCCTGAACAGAAATAAACTAATTGTTTGAGAAAAACAATAGAAGTGTGTAATTAAAGATGAAAGCCAAATTGATGAGCCAAATTGCTAAATCATTTAGATAGTCGTCTTATAGTAATTATTTTTGCATAACGATGCGAGTGAATAATATTTACAATCGAGAATAATATATTCTCTATTATTATATATAATAAAATATAAATATAATTTGATAAAAAATATACAAATAGAATAGAATACTAATAGATATAATGTTTTTCAAATAAAACAGAGTATCTACTTTAGTTAATTTCGGGTAGAGACTTTTTCGGATTTGAACACAATGGTCTGCTGACTGAGAGCAGTGGTCTTATCTAGTTCTACAGTCTTCGGAAATATTTATAGTTTTTTATATTATGTGGAATATTTATTGCTATATTTTTATATATTTCTAGATAAAGAATTAAACAAGTTCTAAGCATTTCTAGTAATCGCGCAATAAACCATAGCATAAAAGGCAGAAATCAGTCACTCTTAGATGTCGATCATGATATTTATTCCCAACGATAATGGTGCTTGATAAATATATAAAAAAATGACCAATACATTTATTATAAGTCCACCTGTCTGATTTTGAATATTTTGTACAAAAAGGTGTTGTTACATGATTTTCAGAATTAGATGGGAATTTTCTGCAAAAAGCAGGTCTTTGTAGACATGTTGGACAATGCCGATTTTAGTTCTTTCGATATTTACATTCATATATTCAATATTCTATAATAATAGGTGATTCAATATGTATTTACGAGAAATAATAATATTATTGGGTATAGAAATATTTTAATAGTCATTTAAGTGTTGAACAAAAAATGAGGAGCAAATGAAAGGAGTTTCTGGAAGTCACTCTAGAGAGATTAATGTGTTATTAAAAATGCAAAAGAACGGTTTTCAAACATTTGTATGAGAAAACTTGTGGAAGAGTAATTTGTGTAATTTAATTGCTGATATAAGATTATTTAAGGTTAAAAACACTAATAATACCATTAATCAATAAATCAAATTCACGAGATCTTTTTGTTTCCGACTTTATAATGATATGGCTATACTAAACTATCAACTTGAGGAAGATTGAAGGAAGTAAGTAAAATTAGAGGGAAGATCTGTAGACCAATAACGAAACTGTTTCAAAGAATATTTTCATTTTTTCCTTCAAAATGCCAGCATAGAGCAGATGTGTTGCGTTAAATGGATTATAATTTAATTTATATATGTATAGATGTGTATATAGATGTGTATACTCGTATATCAAAGTTTGGAAGTAAAGAACTTAGTCTCAATCTCTCTTGTAATACTGAATTAACTGAAGCTTTGTCTAAATTTTTATACAGTTTTAAACTAATGTCGTTAAAAGATCTTTAAATAATTGGAAATCTTTTTATAGAAATTTGAAGCATTAATAGGAATCAGAAATAAACTGAGGAATTTTGATGAACTGCATCTATACAAAAAATGAATAAACTTATGAATAAGTAATTTTCTGAAGATATATGAAACCACTAATCACATATAGGAACATAAACTCTATATTTTTATTACAAAAGCAACATACAAGTTTTCTAAATCAACATTTTTAAATAAATTGATAAACAGACCCTTTTTCTTTTTATAAGTATTTCTATTTTTTATAGACCACTATTCCCATAACTAATGCGTTCCATTTTTATCTGATCTTATGCGATGGCTTTCCAATTACGCCCATTCAACGATTGTGAAAATTATATATTTAATAATAATACATCATTGATCTAACTTTTCCTTGAGCTGCCTCCAACACACTCGTCAATCTGTCCTATTGTAAGTTTGTTTAGCTTGTTCTGCCACTTGCTTGGGATGCATTCATTACAGAATGCCTTAGCCATTTCAAGCGTTGAAACTTGATGTATTTTATAAGATTCTGCTCGTTTATTATATGAGCGCGCGGTCTATATACACAACGTATATGCATATATATATTTATGTGAATATATTTTTTAATAAATAAAACTTATGAATTTCTATAAATTTTCATTTGTTATTATAATAAAATTAGAAACAAAACTATCGAGAACATATGGAAGTTCTGGCCAATGTAAAAATAAACAATACGAAATAAAAATCAAATCCAAGAGAAAAGATAAATAAAATAAAAAAGTTTGTGTTTCAGAGAACAAAGTAATTAAAAGTTTTTCTAAATTTACAAATATATAAAATTTTCTCTACTCTCATTTCCATGTCAAGCGAGTCAAGAAGCACAATTAAATTTAGTGTAAAATTTGTATCTGAAGAATTTGTTAGTTTCAAAAACATTAAATGCACCATTAAAGATTATTGGTGGAAAACAAAAGACAAATGCAAAATGTCGGAAAATTAGGCTAGAAAAATTGATTATATGCTCACAGTTGCGGTCGAGTATTGTAGAGATTAAGTCGACGAAAGCAGCACGTTGCGTCGCAAGACCAACTGATTACGCAAAAATAAACTCAATCCAAACGGTTTTGTGTGAAAAAGTGGAATATTTCAAAAGAAAAACTAAATAAGTGAAAATCAGCAAATAATTTCTGCAGTGTTTAATCGATATTAAAGATGCCCAATCCAGCAGCTTTTACACCATTAATAACTGATGCTCAACTCTCTAGCGTGACGTCAACGCCAGAATTGGCACGACTGCTTGATTTGCACTTGGGAAAATATCGTCAAAGTGATCCTGCTTGGGAAGTGGCTGAGTCCGTTATATCAGGTCGCGGTATATTCGCACGTCGTGATATAGCCGCTTGCGAAGAATTATTCCGCGAACACACCTTACTAGTCGGTCCCACAGCGCACAAAAACACCAAACTGAATACCTGCGTCATATGCTATTGCCTCATTGAAGGACCTGAAGTGCTCTGTTCAGCTGGTTGCTCACTGCCCGTTTGTAGAATATGTAGTCAATCGGAACAGCATGAAAAAGAATGCAAACTTTTTCGCAAATGGATACCCAAAGACCTAACTCAAATAAATCCCTGTTCACTGCGGATTTTATCGACGATTCGTTGTTTCTTCCTAGACGAAGATCAACGCAAACTTTTGTATGCAATGCAGGCCAATGCGGATAAATACTATTTACGTGAAGTTGCTAACGCCTCCGCTTGCTTTAAATATTTTCCCAAAGATCCTGAAATGTTGGACTATTTTCATCGCACCATCTGTGCTTTCAATACAAATGCGTTTGAAGGTCGCAGTAAAGTGAATGGACATGAAATCATGGTGCGCGCGCTCTTTCCATTGGCTGGGCTATTGAACCATGAGTGCACACCGAATGCTAGTCATCATTTCGAGAATGCTGAGACAATAGTGGTGACATCAACGCGTGCAATAGCTAAAGGGGAAGAAATCACAACATCATACACCAAAGTTTTATGGAGCAATTTGGCGCGTAAACTATTTTTAGGTTTGACTAAGCATTTTACGTGTCACTGCAGGAGATGTCAAGATCCGACGGTGAGTATCGGAATGAAGCTAATAGATTCGAATAATTATAATGTTAGCATTTTATTATTTTTTATAAAAACTTTTCAAGTACTGTGAGGTGTGTGCAGCAACAGAATTTCAGTTTGTTAATCGTGCAAGGCATAAAATTTAGCAGGCAATTAAGTTTTGCCATAAGTGAAAAATAAATTCTCAAAATGCTTGTTCACGTCTAGTACAAAAATTATTTTTTTTTCACTAGAAGGCTTTTGTCTAATTTATTCATATCATTTGCTGCTTTTCATTCACAACTCATTGAAGACAATGGCAGTGGGTCTTCTGTTGTTTCATAAATAAAAAAATGGCTTTCACGCTTTTTGAACGCGTGCCTACGCAAGCTTTTTTATGCTTTTTTATCAAACATGTTTGATGCTTTTTTAAGCAATAAAAGCTGTGCTTTTGGTAAGCACCACAGTTCCTTTTATATAGCATGCTAGAGAAGTTCTGTCAGCTTTTGTAGCATGATATAATTTTGGTTTTTAAAAACAATGAAATACATTTTTATGATGTGTAAAAATGTTATTCTTGATATTTAGTTGAATTAATTATTGATATAAGAGATATATATTTACTATATCTGTGAAACGAAAATACTCAGTAAAATTTTTGACGGGATGCATCGCATAAGATACAACTACGCGATAGAACGTCTAGCTGAAGATGATACAATCAACAAATTTATGAAAAGCAGCGCTCAAGATGGGTTGGACATGTGATACAAATGCCGGATATGAGAATACCGCTTAAGATTTATGAGAACGAAGTAGGAACCAGCAAAAGAAGAAAGCGACCAACAAAGCAGTGGAAAGACAGTGTGCAGCAGGACTTAGAAGAAATGAACATAAAAAATTGGAAAACAAAAGCAAAAACAGAGAAAAATGGAAGACTGTTGTTAAATGGGCTTAGGTCCTATATGGACTATATAGTCACGAATGATGATTATAACTCTGATGAAATTGTATTGGAGAAAATTAGTTTCACTAGAACTCAACTCAATGTTTATGGTAGTAGATTGTGCTTTGACTTATAACACAAAATATATTTTGTCATATCAAGTATATAGCAAAAGGATTATATTTTTAGATGACGACAAAAGCGATTAATTTTTAAATAAATAAGTAAAACTAGAACCAGACAGTATGTTTCTGAAACTGAACTTTTTATCATTCTGACAACTTGGGTGTAAAGATATTAATAGCATTACTTAGCTGTCATCTTATTTTTGTGGAATACATAAAATATGAAATTTGAAATAAGTATTAAATAAATCATTATCGTTAAACTAAAAGCTAATTCACTGGGATTTTTCAAAATTGAATAGAAGTTTAGAAAGAAATAGTTACATACATTTTAGCAGTTTTATACTTTTAATCTTTTGCAGTTGCGGGTCTCTAAGGGAACCACGATCAGCAA